AAAGGCTGTCGTGTAAAACGCTTTCATCGTGGAGAATTGAAAGGTGCTCGAAAACTTTTGGTCTTCGACGTTAAAGATTCTAGAAGAGATTCTACCTCGCAGATTGAATTTCTATTAATTCCTCTCTGATCCGTTTATTTTTTTTTTTTGCAAGTGATGTAGAACGCGCGCGCGCAAAAAAAAACGATCCGCGTGTAATCGTGTAATAGTCATGTAAGGAGAATATATCACTGTTGATATGTTAGCACAGTCTTTAAATTTGACGGGGCGAAAGTTCGGTGCAAGCGAGAAAAACAAATGAGAGACTTGTAAAACTTTCGACTTTCTAAGCCGCGGCAGGCGCGACTGCACGCGACAAAATCCGAGGGTGACATGTAAAACGCGAGAAACCCCACTCCTGGCGTCGGCGAGATAATAAATGGCGTCTTTGCCTACGAGAAAATATGGGTATTATCCCTTTTTTTTTCCAAACAGATGCGCTCGCGCCACTCTCGAGATTTACTCATCGAGAGACTCATCCGCGAGATCACCTATTATTTGTCTTTCTGTGAACTGTGTAAATTCGCGTGTCCAGGACAAGCTCTTGGTTCACTGGTGCTTAAGACTTACGACTGTTTCGAGATGCCTGGAACGTAGCTTATCTTAGAGAGGCTAAAACGATTAGCAAGATCTTGATAATGAAATTCTGTGGACATCACAAAAGACGGTCTTTGAAACATCAAAGGGTTGGCCTAATGGAGCGCTAGCTTTTCGGAAGTCGTATAATTCATCACGAAGTCGAGACATAAAGTAACAATCATACATATTCTTTCCAGACTTGTTTTATATACACATACATATGTATATGAATAAGTCTGAAAATTTCTTGGCATCTTGGAGCAGAACTTTGTCACTAATTTTCAGTTCAACTCTCTCGCAGTTGGTTCACGAAATCAGAACTCATCTCTTAAGAGTCTAGATAGGATTATACCGATCAAAGACAACAGGAGTAGCAAATGTTAGTATTAAAAAACGACGTTAAATATCTTTGTAAATAAAATTTCGAATTAGAACTCTGTGAGTTTTGTGCAAGAGAGTAAAATGAAATTAATTGAAAGAACGTGGTTTGATTGACGCTCACGGTCCCAAAAACGTATCCCCTTTAATTTCCAACTATTCGTAATTACGAAAATTGTTAGCGTCACGCCACTGTGTTTAAGGAGAAACACAATCGGATTACCAGACAACAAAGGTGAAATTAAAGCGGCCGCCGTCAGCTATAATTTCGTAGCCCTTTTTTTATTTTCTCTTCTTTCGTTTCGCTATGGAAGAAAGGAAAGTAATTTACCGCGAAATGGGACGATCGAAAGGAGGTAGTTACAACGTTTACAAGCAGTACATATTTAGCGTAGACGGCGTAGAATCGGGGAAAAATCGCTTTGGTATAATACGATCACGGATACATATTGGCACGATTAAATTCAACGCGCAACAATTTGATTATCGAATCGAACCCATTTCTCGCGGTTGGTGTATCGGACCCGATATTGGACAGGGAATTGCATGAGGGGGGGATCTCCGAACAGAACGGTAAGTATTACATAATTACGGAAACGTATACCGCCGCTCGAAAATCTGCGAATGCTATTCCACGCCCACGCGAAGCTCGAATGTGAACGTTCCATATTCAATTTGCGTTCCTGATGATTTCAATCCTCCTTTCAATAATTCTTTATTAATTACAGTCTTTATTGAGATACACACAGAGAAGATAAATTACATGAAGTTAAAATATTCCAATTTCCCCGTTTAATTTTATTATCCCCCTACCAAGTCGTTGCAATGAAAAAAAAACCACAGAATAATTTAGGTCAGCTTTTTCCAGCTGCCTTCTTCACATTTTCGCTTCTCTTTCTCTGTATTTTTTCCACTCTCGATGGACATGGTCTACACTCGTTTCGCAGAGTAAGTACCGAATGTGCAGCTGAAAGAAAAAACAGCTCTATTTCTTCTCTTCAAGTAGCATTTTGGAAACGCGCTGTTTTAGAATTCTCATATAACGTAATCGCAAAACTTCGAAACCGCAAAAAAGAAGTAAAAATTGCGGAGAATAAAAAATCCAAATTTCACGGCCGAGACATAAATTCTGGTGCGGAATTTCTTCGATTTTTTCATTAGCAGAATTTAGAACGGTATACGTCTCGTGGAACTGTAAAGTGGAATGTGATGTGAGGAGTCTTTCATCAATTTCGGTTTTGTTCAACGAACACGAAAAACACATCAGCGCGCGAGATTCGTTTTGAGAGTCGTTGTCGTCGTGTCTCGCACAAGAGGAGGTAAAGAAAGAAATGTCTTTTCCTTACACGTACATCGTAGTGCAACACGTTAGCGTTACATATATGTTATACATCGTACAATGCGATTAAGTTAAAAAAAGTAGAGAGCGCGGTAGTTCCGCAGTATCGTGACGCGTCTTGGATTATTTTTAGAAATTTCGTTGCTTCGTACAGAGCACAACATCAAAGTAAAGAAGATAACGCCTCCGTAACGACCATAAATATATACAGTATATATAATTATGTGTATGTATATATATATATATATATATGTATTCATATAATTTTATTATATATAAAACAAACGATTTCTCTCTCTCTCTCTCTCTCTCTCTCTCTCTCTCTCTCTCTCTCTCTCTCTCTAGGCTGTACGAAACAAGCTCGAGGAGCTGCCTGTTTGAGCATTCGCATTTGCTCGAAACGGAATCGAAATCGGATCTTTAAGGATCTAGCAAAAATAAATTGTACCCTTTAGAAAAGTCTTTAATGAGAGAGCGTATATAACAAGCGAGTCGAGGTTTATTTTTACTTACTGACGTAACGATCGATATGAGATTTTTATAAAAATACACGATAGCCTTAACGTCGATCGACGTGGCTAATGGCATGAAAACTATTCAGTGTCTCGCATCGGGTTTCGATTCCGATTTCAAGCCTCGACTAAGGTTTCAGACGAAGCGTAGACGATAAAGCTGCCGTCGGAATTAATTTTCGCGATCGTCGGAAGCTGCTTATAGTTTTTCGTAATCGCGACGTGTTCGCCGGAATTTTGGATCCCGAGTCGCGTTTTTAACACTATATAATTTAATTTTGCCGGGGGACGAGCGACCGTCGCCCGGCCGATTGTCACGGATATATAGAAGTTTTGTGTAAAGCACTTGGACAGTCGTCAGAGGTATATACACCTGAAAAAATTCGCGAGATTATACGCGTTCGCATGCGGCGTCCGTGGGAGATATGGCGACTCTGCGCGCGGACAAGGCACTGCAAAGCAACGTAGACATTGGCCAGGAGAGGTATTAAGGTTAATTAAACGATTGAAAGAATTTTAGCGTGGTCGAAAAAATCGTTTTGCGAACGTTCGATACGAAAGATCGTTTCCGAACAGATTACCTCTCGCGCTTCTCAATCGAGGCTTCTCTTTCATTTTACATTATACGTCGGATCGGATCGATTCTGTCCGGAGCAAATGTTCGATGTTCGAAAGAAAAAAAAAAAAGAAAAATGCTTTAGGGAAGATTTTGTCGTTTCTCATTGTCAGTAAAAATTCGGAGATGTAATGCTAAAAAAAAAAAAATTACGGCGTTTAATCTCTATCTCGCGCAAGAAATCTGCGTTTGAAATTCGCGATTAAAACCGCGATTGTTGAAGTCTCGAGCGTTCGCTCGATTGCATAAAGCGCGCCTGGGCCACTCGAGATGTTACCGCGCGGAATAGACAGTTCAACGGATGGGCTCGACCCACAATTGTCCTCTCCTCCTCGTCGTTGCAGCCGCAATCCCGGCTTATATTGACCGAGACCCGTCCCAGTTACCCGCGTATCAACCCGGTGCGGTAAAACCCGCTGTGAAGAACATTTTAATGAGTTTTCCCACGGCTCTCGAAGCATCGCGGTGAGCGGCGCAGAAACGTTTTCTTCGGTGATATCGCAGCTGGAAACACAAGTTTGCGTTCGTTACCGGAGATAGTACTTCGGATCGCGTGCACCCGTCGGTGTGGAAAATCTTTCGTCTTTGTTGATTCCCGCGTACAACTATTTTTCAGAAAATAAACCGGCTAGACTCGTAACAAATATGCATTCTGTAATCCTTCTCAGACTACGTGACTTTCTCATTTTACATGTTCTCCATATCGAAACTTTTTGTGCCGACACCAAACCTGACATTATTTATGCACATTCGCAATAGTACTCGTATATACGAACAAGAAATATGCGAATCAAATTGTGTGTAATTGTGTGTGTGTGTGTGTGTGTGTATTATACATATATATATATATATATATATATACATATATATGGTATATATAATGTTACAATGTTGCTGCAACATTGTAACATTCCAGCTATATTGCATAGATTACAATATTATTGCAATATTGTAGTTATAATCTGTGTGTATAATATATACACATATACATTCACGGTTTGATTTGCATATTTCTTGTATGGTTTAACGAATTATCGTTACGAATAGCCTATCGATAACGTTATATATGCCTTTCACTATCAATCTCGCGTCTCTTCTCATGGCAGCGTCATCTGAAGCTTTACGTAAATATACACATATCTCTCTCTTTCTCTCTCTCTCTCTTTCTCGTTACACAACAAAGACAGTAAGACATCGTATAAAATCTTTTTACAACCTGGCTGATTAGACTAGTCTAGAATGAGTCGTCTTTCCATTCATCCCGCATTCGCACACATTCAATCTCGCCACTGAGGGACCAACGAACGCTCAGTCGAAACGTCATCCCCGACGTGGACTGTATGTGTTACGCAAGTGTCCCGTGTGTCTCCTCCTCCGTCGCTTCTTTTTTCTCGCGCCTCGGACGGGCGCGAGTCGAGAGATTTTAGACCCCTTCCTCAGGCCTCCATCAGACGTTACCGCTGAAGATGCCGCCGGCACCCAGACGATTGTTATCCTGCGTCGATCCAGGATACCGGCCGGGCGCCAGCAGCCAGCCTCACGTCTTGGCGAACTTGTAGACCACACCGAACACCAGCACGCTCACCAGCATCAGCACCATCGCGGTCACCACCTTGGCGAAGGCGTTCAGCCCGCTCTCCGTCGGCTGCTGGGACCTGCCGCTCGGCACGCCGCTCTGCTTGGCGGCGAGACCGCGCGCCAGGGCGGGGAAGGCCAGGCTCTGGGTGAAGGTCAGCTTGTGGAGGGACTCCGACAGGGAGTACGGGCCCACGGAACCGCGGGCCGCCGCCCTCAGTAGGGCGTACTCCAGATCCAGAGCGTCGAACATGCTGTATCTGCTGGTGGAAGAAAGAAACACGGAAGTCTCTTAATTATTTTAATATGCACCACGCGCTGCAGCGTACATTTCTTTTAACCATTTTATTTAAATAATGTGCATTATTTTTGACTATATATTATTTGAGATACATAGTTTTAGTGCAGCATCTCTAAGAATATATTCGACCTTCTACATCTTCAAAATTTTTATATTACAAGTAGGTATGTACTTTACATTACTTCTTTAATTATAGTATTATCTACTTTAATTATAGTTATTTCATTTAACTTGAGATTATTGCACAAGCTGTGTGGTAAATTTTTCTGGCAAACTTTTCTGGAAATCTCTCACGCGACTTTAGCGAAAACTTTGGTAACGAGTGCAACAATTCCCGCTGCAAAGTTCTCGCTTTGAAGGAAATTAAAACGCAGACGAAGGTGCGACGAGGGAAAGCATAAAAGTGTAGGCCTCTATCGAAACGATCCAATGTCTCGGCTTCGCGCGAGGTTCTGCGTGCTCGCTCGCGAGATTGCAGGATTACTATACGTGTAAAAAAAAAAAGGAGCGAAATTGGGGCGCGGTCGGTGTCAAGATTAGGAGGAAAGAGAGAGAAAAGCGATTTTCTCGAGGCCCTCGTCGTAGAAGGAGGACCACTTCGGTGTTTGCGGCAAAGAACTCGTACAAGTAACGAACAATTCTACCGACACGTACACATAGACGCGCACACAATCGTAAACGCTGATACGTCGTCTCGACGTATACCTTCCGTACATTTACATCGTGTCAAGGTCGTTCCTTGACACGAGTCAAGAGCGAGTCCGGCATCGAACGTGATACCCCACAATAGATTGTTCCTGCCGTTCGGATCTCCGGGACCTTGCTTGAAACATGCGCATACGCGACCAAGGATAAGGTCGGAAAGCAGATACTCGCCGATGCTTCACCGGTGTAAAAAGTAGAAGAGGAGATACCATTTCTTGCAATAATACTTGTCGAAAATTGTCGTCACCACTCGCGAGAACCTATTCACGACAGTCTCAGTCTGCGTCGGTATTGGTAACTTTGCTCATTTGTTACAACGGAGGTTTATCACGATAATGTATAGATAGCCAAAATGTTGTATGCGTTCTTTTTACTCCGGAAACGTCAAGATCAACTTTCCATCATTAGCTGAGGATGATTTAAAATTGAATTGAAACGTCCATGGATTAAAGAAATATTTGAATAAAGACCTTCAATACAGCACTTCTATGCTTGCCTATCTGTGCTTTATTTATCGCGCTATAACTCTCGTTAGCCCTTGTTTCTATTTTTTTTTATTTATGCGTTTACTTATATTTTTCTTTTCTTCATTTTGCGTACCATCGTTAAAAGAATCAAATTAAAGTAAATCTAAATTTCTAAATGAAAGACTATAGACAGAAGAGACACTCAGGAAAATGTTTCGCTGTTTCAGCTAGGATTCTAAATATTACACTTAAATTATATCGATGTTTTTGTATCTGCTAAAAAATTGTCTGTCATACGTAGAATTTATAGCAACAATATTCTAAGAATATATGCAAGAAAATATAGGTCTCATAACCAAATATATGATTAGAATCTGGATTGGAGTCTGGACTGATTAAAGAAGAACTTTCGTGCTAAATTTGACAAATAGTTCAGATATAATTTCTGTTTCTATTATCTGTATTGATCAAATACAAAGCATATATGATATCGCAGTGCTTACTAATCACTTATCCGTTTTAGCTAAATTTTCGTACCAAAATAATTCTCGCTATAATTGCAAGATTACTTTTTTCAGTGGATAAAACAAAGCTAAAGATGAACAAATAAAGTCGATTTATCGCGGCTGAAGATGTCGGAAAGGCGTGCGGCGTGAAAACGTGTCAAATCAATTACCTGCTGCTGCGTCTCCTGTCCTGCGAGTGCATCGACACGATCGCCGAGCTCGGCATCGATCGCAGGCTGCTGGTGGTCGAACTGGAGGGACTCGGCGGCGCGGGCCGGTCCTCGTGGTCCTCGTCTATAGACGTCCTGTCCGGCGACGGCGGACTCTTCGATCCCGCGCTATGGTGGTTGTGATGAAGATAATGCAGCTGCAGCCGCGCGTGATCCGGATGCAGCAGGCTGGCGCGACGCGATTGCTGCGGCGTCATCGCCGGGCTGTTGCAGGTAGCACCGCATGGCGACGGCGACGCCTTTAACGCGTTTCACCAAAGTTAAGATTTTATTTTTTTCTCTTCGCGTTGTGACGAGGCGCGAATCGACTCGCGCGAGAAGAATTTAATAAAAGAAATCATACGTTTATTAATTAAGTTATTTAACGTTAATTTGTTCAACTGACATTCAAATCTCATTTGCCTCTGACTGTACCAAAAGCGGCGAATTTTCGTTGGACCTGTTGGATGATCACTTGTTAGTTTCTGTTTGACATAATTTATGTTAAGTCTAAAAAAATCGGATAACAATTTGTAATACTTTGACCACAAATTTTGTGACGCTGTCCCAAATTTTATCTTTTTTGACTCCACTTTTTCTCGCTTTCGACGTTTATTAATTAAATTATTTAACGTTAATGTATTTAACTGACATTCAAATTTTGCCTTTTGTCTGTATTAAAAGTGGAGAGTTTTCGTTGGATTTGTTGAACGCGTTAATTTCTGTTTGATATAATTTATGTTAAGTCTAAAATAATTGGATACAATTTGTAATACTTTGACCACAAATTTTGTGACGCTGTCCCAAATTTTATCTTTTTTGACTCCACTTTTCTCGCTTTCGACGTTTATTAATTAAATTATTTAACGTTAATGTATTTAACTGATATTCAAATTTTGCCTTTTGTCTGTATTAAAAGTGGAGAGTTTTCGTTGGATTTGTTGAACGTGTTAATTTCTGTTTGATATAATTTATGTTAAGTCTAAAATAATCGGATACAATTTGTAATACTTTGACCATAAATTTCGTGACCGTTTCAAGTTTTATCTTTTTGACCTCACTTTTTCTCGCCTTCGACCAAAGAATCAGCTGCGATACTTTCAATTAATTTCGTTTAACGTAACCGATTTATCATAGAAAACAATTTTTACGTTGTTTTAAGTTTAATTCTCATGACTTTCGTTATTCATATTATATTTATTTTCTATATTATTTACATTATGCGTACATTTATGTGGCTTTTCTCTTCTTGCTTTTATATCTTCTTCAACGTTTCGTTGATTAATTATATATTAATTATATTTTCTGTATCTCTGTTTACTGGCTGATAATGACTAACAAAGTAAAGTCGAAACGTACCATGTTATTTTGATTATTTGTATCAATAAATTATAATTTATCTCACATCTTATAATACAATTAATTACACTCGTTTTTTGATTTGTCATTTTGGTTCTCTTTTGTTTAGCTATTTTGATCTTAAAAAAAAATAGGTCAATCCCTGTCCCACGCAGAAATGATCTTGAACATTTTCGCGTTCGTTTTGATGTCTCAGTGGAAATTTAATTTACAGCGTAGGAACGTCTCGAGAGTGCTTATGTTTGTTCGATTCACGCAGACACAATTGAAAAGCATTGATTTTATTGATATAAGTTTGAAGATTTAATAAAAAAGATTTGATCACAAGTATAAAGCACCCTTACAGATTTACGTAAACGTTCTATATCTAGCGAAAAATAAATTAAAAAATAATATTTTCCAAGTAGAAATAATTAATCGACTAATTATTTCTAGCGAGATTATTTTTATAATAAATTTAATATTTTGTTAGTCCTTGACTTTTATTACCGCCAAGAAAATGTAATAAATTGTGGGTGCTTTATATTTTATGGCCAAGGCTGTAAGTATCATCGTGAAAATCACACCTGGATGGATTCGATGCCGCTGTCGTTGACACTTTCCTGCACGTCTGGGAACACAAAAGCTTGGGCCTGTCCGTCGGTGTCGGCTCTGGGCGAGTCGCTGGGCCATACCTGAAGTAGCGGAAGTCCCCCGCGCGTCTCGTTGCAGACCTCGGCGATGACAACGTTGCTCGATGGTACCCCGGTATTGAGGCACAAACCCAGCTCTCTCAATGGCTTCTGCTAAACGATTTTAATCGTTTTATAATTGTGTCGTAAATTCTACATACTTATATATGTTGCCATCAAAATCCGATTTTGCTAGTTAAAACTAGTTGCGTGGAAATCCATATCTGTTCCTGTTTAGGGGGCGGAACGAGGTCTATAATTATACTGTTCTACGTGGGTTTTCGACTTTCCACGCAAAACTATTAAAACTACTTTTAACTAGTGAAATCGAAATTTAATTTTGACGGATTATGGGTTTTGACGGTAACATATATATTTTTGGGGGAAGGAATCTTATTTCTTTTTTTCTTTTGTTCTTCGTACAAGTTCAAACTTGTCGGAGGACATGTTGAGACAAAATGCACTTTGAACATTAGATTATATATCTTGAATGTGAGGTAAACGAGATTTTAATTTTGTTGTTTGCGGCATGCACTTGGGACTGAATTGACTTTGAAATATTACGAAGGCGGCTCGTATCGCGCGGCACGCGCGAACGAACGCCCTGCGCCTTTGCTTTCACGAGCTGCTCGATGACTCTCGATAATAAATATCGCCGCCTAGAGAACTCGGTAATGTCGCCGTGGCACGAGACAAACATTTTCTGCGTTCGCGCCACATAACAAAAGGCCGGTCCTTCACGGGCATGGATATTAGCATGTGAAATATTGAAAAGAAATATTTTTAGCCACGGTCGCGTTTCAAGAGCAGATTAATCGATGCGATACTCAGTTTGTTTCGCTGCCACGAGCTTTACTTCCATCCTAATGACGTTTTAAAAAGAGTAATAAAACTATAACGGCAGAGAGAACTTGTTGTCTCGCGTGGACTTGTTCATTCAAATGGAAGAGTATCCTCGAAGCGCACACCTGACACGATTGAAATGTCACGAAATCTCTTGTATTGTCGCGTAGACAAGAGCACGGATTTTCACAGATTGTTATTGCAAAGTAGTGATAAATTGAAACTTCCGCGTGATACGCTACTCTTTGTCACGAAATATCGTGCACGTGCCTGCTTACCGTTCATTCGTAATCCGACAAAATATCTTTGACGTCATATGATATATGACGTCAGTGATATGGTCTTTTAATTTTCATAGTGTATAACTAATTATAAGCTAAAAATCTTCGACAATTTTCGAAAAATCAGTCGAGCTTCGATAACTCGAATCTTAAGGGAAGAGCTAAAATCTTCGAGTTATAAAGTTTTGACTTAACGAAATTCGAGTAAAAGAGAGTTATTACGAAAATTTGACTTACGGAGGTTTTTCATAATTTTCCGATTATAATGGCTTTTAAAGAAAAAAATATTCAATATTTGACAGTGAATTATTTATTGCATACGTATAAAAAATGTAATTATAAAACAAATATCAGGCTATTACTTATGGTTACACATTAGCTACAACTTCGAATTATAGAGGCAGCGACAACATAGAAGTTCGACTTATAGAGGTGAACTTCGACTTGTAGAGGTCTGGCTACTTTAAATTCGAGTTGCAGAGGTAAAATAATACATCTAAATATCTCACAAATAATTCGAGTTAAGGTTTTATTTCGATTTATAGAGGTTTTCGAGTTGTAGAGGTTCGAGTTATCGAGATTCGACTGTACCGTTATTTCTTTATGAAATTAATATCGTACTTATAAAAAGTCACGCGAATTGTTAAAAATCTTATAGAGACGCGGTATATGTGTGCCGAGTATATTTTTCGTAAAGTACATCCATTCATGAGCGAAACAGCGTTCCTTCTTTACACGAAGGAGAATGCTTTTCTCTAAAAATAAACCTTTGTTCTTTTTAAATAAGTAGATGTTATCGAAAGATGCAGGTAATGGAGATGAATATAGATTTTTCCGATAATTTACATATATATTGTACGTGCATTGAGGAATAACAGGTTTTCTATTTCTTTCAAAAATCCGAGCTTTTATCTGCGAATATACATATTTTGTTAATGTAATTCTTTTATTGATATAACGCTAAATAAATAAATCTTGAATCTCGAACGACGCCATTGTACGAATATAGCAAAAAAAGGAAATGTCACATGTTTAAATTACGAATGGTCCAGCTATTTTTTTAATTATTGAAATGTGATGTCGATCACAGTTCATCTTTCCGTTCAATTTTATGTATGTATATCGCTCGCTGGATGCACAATTTAAAAAACGAAATTTTTCAAAAAATAAGTTTGAATATTTTGAATCATTAAAATTTTGTAATTAATTTTGAAATGCAATTTCAATGTAATAACTGATTGTAGAGGAATAAAATTATGTTCTCTCTCTCTCTCTCTCTCTCTCTCTCTCTCACACTTTCTCTTTAAAGTATTTTCCTTTTTTTATGATCCTTTTTTTGCAAGTAACTTAAAAACGACAACTTTTTTAGTTATGTCATTGTTGTAGCAAATGAGCGATATATTCTATGCTATATTGACTACAAATCAGGACCGAAGAACCGTTATCATTGATCGATTCGCGCTATGATTTACCAAAATAAAATGCAAAGCGCAATCTGAACCGTCATCCTTCTATAATTTCTCAATGAGTTATTATTCCTATCCTTGCTCGTGCCTCACCTTCGGCCTTTTCTCGCCTTCGAGCATATTCGTCGCAAGGGCTCTCTCTCTCTCTCTCTCTCTCTCTCTCTCTCTCTCTGTCTCTCTCTCTCTATCCGTTGTCGATCGAAGGCGATCTTGATTTTTATTAAACCTGCGACGACGTGTTGCGCGGACAACGATGTGGATAATAATAATACACGGTTTAAAGTTCAAAATGTCTCGCACGTCTCGCCGCGCGAGAGAGTCGCACTCACGCAGGCTGGCGCGCGTCCATCACGACAGGCAACCGGGGGATAAACGGCTCGCTGGTTTCCGGTGCGGCGAGCTTGCAAAGGTCGTCCCGCTGTACAAAAAAGCTGTCGAGAAAAAGGCGACAGGCAGCAGAAGCAAAATGCGAAATGGATCGATAAAGCGCGAACGAGAGGAAGCGCAGCTGAAAAAGCACGTTAGCTCAAATGTCCCGAAATCCTGTCCCTTCCTCTGTTTCTCTCTCTTTCTTTCTTTTTTTTTCTAATTCTTAAACGTTTTCTGCGGAATATTTTTACGACTGTAAAGAATGTAAAGTACATTTTGAATATTTTTTCTACTGTATATAAAAAAAAGGACTGATTCTCGAGCCCTTTTCTTGAGGAGTTGAACCAGGGGTTGGTCAAAGAAAAATACGAAACCGATCAATAATGTGCGAGCAGGAAGTGTGTCGGCAATAGGGTCGTAGCCGAAATATATTATGTATATATATATACCGTCGAGAAATCGAAACGGGACACGGAAGCTCCGTAATTACCGCTCCGTCGACAGGCGAGGAAAGGGAAAACACAGTCACGGACGGAACGAAAATATTGAAAACGATGTCGCATTCCTGTGCCTCGATGTCTCTCCGCATTTTCCTCCTTCGTTCCACGCTATTCCTTAATGTTTGCACTGAGCAAAACCCATCATACATTTTTTTTTACTGCTTCGCGGAATGATTCCGAGTCACGCTAAAAGTTGTAGAGAGGGGAACGCACGGTGCTGTCGAATCGATAATGCAAAGTCTCTCTCTAAAGTGCGAACCCGTTTCCGCCGTAATAAAAAGTTGGCTCATTACACGAGACGCGGTTTCTTTTCCTCGTCGATGGTGGAAGTCATCGTTTGCCGAGAGCGATGGAAAAGAGTTAACCCGATTCGAAAAAAAAGGATCATATTTGTTTCATCCCTCTTGTTTCTTTTTTTTTTTTGAGAGCGGCTCCCGGGATTTGCGTCGCGCCGCACTCGCGCGACAATCGCGATGTCTCCCTCGAATCGGACCGCGAGAAACGCGCCACGGCGCAAAAAATCGAGCGTTACTTCGTGTTACTCCGTCACACTCGAAAACGCAAGATTTGCGTGTCAGATGTGCAAATGCCTTTTCTCTCCGTTTTTTTTTTCTTCTGCGAGACTTCCGCCAAATGGAAGTTCGCGATCGAGATGCGAACTTGGCGGCACTCCAAATTGACCAGTGGAAAACCCCACGAGAAAAGAGCGCGAGAAAGATTTTGTAACATACGCGCGAAGAACAAGCTATATGAGAGAGAGGGTGCCTCAGAAAGCTCTTCCTTTCATCTCCGACATCAATTAATTTCGAAATCGACGAGAAGGAGTCGAGAGGTTTGCAACTCGAGAGAAGAGAGAGAGACAGAGAGAGAGAGAGAGAGAGACGGGAGGGGGGCTACGTCGCAAATCTCATCGGAATGACCACAACTCGCTCGAGAGTTCGCGAAATTTAACGTTTAAACAATTCTCTCTTTGCAAGCACAGAAGTTGCGAAGAACTTCAAGAGTCACTCGCCGAGTCAAACAACCTTGCGGAAAGTTAAAGTAAATCGCGTCGTGCTTTCTACACCAGGAAAACTCTCCGCCGCGCGCAAATCTCGTAATGCATTTTTCCGAATCTATTTAATCTAACAGCCAATAAAAGTATTGTGCATGCTACTACCCCTCCGTCACGAGACCGGAGAAACTTTCGTTTTTCCCGATAATTTATAACAACCCTTGCAGAATTGACACGTTTCGCCCGCCACTTCACCGAAATACCACGAAGCCTCGCTTTTACCCGAAAAATATACCGTGCCCCTCGCGTGTACGTCAGTTTTCGTCTCGTCGGACGGGTCTATTAATTAATTGGTGATCGCATATTTTGCGTTGCTTATTCGATCGAACGTTCCCTAACGTGGAGGAAGCTAATAAAATTTCAATGTAGCATACCCCTTTTGTTGATTTCTCCTAAGGTCCGAAAGGTCATTAGAAATGAATTACGAGGATAGCTAATCGATTGGAAAACGCGAGAGAGGGCGACCGTTAATAGTACACTCAGGACGGAGTATATACCGGATTCGCGTACAGTGCTGCATAAAGAGACACGCTTGTTCGTGACCATGACTGTAAGATCTCGTCTTCCTGCTTGGCCTTGGCACGCGTCGGCGGTCGATGAGGGCAAGAAAAAAGGCGCGGAGATCGTTTTCCTGGCACGACGCCTGTGTCTCGGACTAAATGAAAAGACCCTCGCTCGAGAAACCATTATACTTTCCGACACTCCTCGCGCGGGGTACGTTTACGCGCCCATGAAAACGTTTCGAAACAGTGAAACTCGTGGACCTCGCAATCTCGCGAAGAGATTTCTTGACAGATTGATCCAGCCTAGTCATTTAATTATCATAATGGAGTTTAAATCTCCGATCTCAACGCAGTTATTTTACCAAATATTAAAAAGAATAAATGCAACTATATAAATATTATTTCAGCTTAATAATTTCGCGATGTATTTT